TTTACAATTCATATTAAAATTAAATATTACGCAATTTAGACCACAAATATCTATAAGTTTACAAAGCAAAAATATTCAAACACAAACATTACAATGTACATTTTTATTGACTTACGATAAGAAAAAATAAATTACTAAGAAAATTAATATGATAAAGAGAGATTATAAAAATTAAATTATATACCAATTAAAACAAAGCCAATTTTTCAATTCAAATAAAAATATTTTCTTTTCAAAATTTAAACGCTTATAATATGTAAAAATATTTTTACAATCCGATCCTACGGTCCAATCTTTGGATTCGGATCGAGTGACTAAGTACTTAGAACCGTGAACCATCTTAAGATTGTTGATTTTAAAATATTTAGATCATGACCGCCCATCAAATTTTAAGGCCACCTTAAAAGCAGTCCAAAATCATTGGCAAAAAAATAACAACTAAAACCAGTCAAAAAACATCAGTCCCAAGGTGGTCCTGTCCATGGGCTACCCTAGACCGTTGCACACCCCTATTAAAGACCTGTTTGAGCTAAGGCATTAATTGAGAGAGAAGAGAATTGAAAAAAATACGGAAGCCAAAATGAAGAAAAAAATTCTTTCTATTGCAATTTTAATGCTGGTATTCTGCAATTTATTGAATCCCTGCAGAGCTATGTCAATAGAAAGCAACAGCAGCACCTCCATCATTGCTGACGACAACGAGTTGGAGTACCTGATGGATTCTCATAGCAGTAGAATCCTTCAAAGTGGTGGAACTGTGACTGGGAACACAGGCAATGCTGGTCAACCGGCAGCAAATTGTGGGAGAAATCAGCCGTATACCAGCTGCCTTCCGAAGCGAAACAGGCCCAACATGCGACAAAATTGCGGAACTTACACCCGTTCATGTGGAAGGTGAAAGGCCATTTGAACTACTGTTTGAGCAATTAATTTGGCTTTGAAACCTTTGGTTCCTATTGTATGAATTTCATCATCTCTTTTCAATCTGCTGGGGTCATTACATATTGGTCTGAAAATGATTATATATGTATCAATTATCATATTTATTGAATTTCCCATTGCCTGACGTTATTCATAACTTGATCATTAGTTTCCAAAACGAACTTTCCCATGGTGAACGAATCAGTTTGGCATTCCTACATTTGACTTAATTATTGTACATGTATTTCTCGTTTAAAAGCTAGATTTAGAATTTTGTTTTGACAAGTTCGGAGATGGTTGGCATTGCACTTAACATCCGAAATTTTTTTAGATAAAAGAAAATAAATTAGTTTCATGGACTTAAGATCAATTATTCTTAATTAAAACACGATGTGACTCAAGTTAATGAAAAGCTAAAATCAAAATCTCATTTTCAGTTGAATTTTACTATTGCATTCAAGTTTATCTAACTAGAAATTAAGGAAAATAAAATCCAAAAGGCCGTTAGATTTGCAATAGACTAAAATCAACTATCGAATCACTGAATCAGACAAAACTCACAATTCATAACCCAAGCTTGAGCATGACATATCCAACAAAAGTTCTAATTCAAATATTCAGTAAATCGAAATTGGAGTAACTCAAACATTCATTTACACCTATGCCATGGCCTTAGTTTAATAGTGTCTAGTAATTGGACGATAAGATTTTTTTAACACTTAAGTTATGAGGTTATTCGCGACACTCATGTCATAAACCTTATAGAAAATTATCTCATAAATCATTAAAGGAGTTTTTTAAATTTTATTAATGAAATTAAAAATATATATTTTAAAATATATTAAAAAATAAAAATACACATGACATTTTTTTAATTTTAATTGTGAAATTTAAAACTTGATCGATAATATATAAAATTGAATTTCAACTCCATAGTAATTATTTAGGATAGCATCTTATATTTAAAAGCTGAAGATTACCTAATTCGTTGTGATGTCAACATCAAGGACGTCAAGTATTTCCCCTCGAGAAAATAAATCTTAGCTAGCCTCAATTATTGGTTAGCTGTCTACATGAATCATGTCAGTACATGTTAGAGAGGTATATACAAACCACACTAATCTAGCACGATTGGAGCTGCCCATCCATCCGGCCAGCCAGGCGATCCCCTATAAAATTGTATCCTAGAAATTTGGATGACATGAAATTGATCCTACAAAATTGGACTTTACACAACCTAACACATTTTTAGGCTGCTTATTTGATAGGAAAGTTCTAACAAACATTTCAAAATTAGAATAAGGTTAAACGTCACAGTCACTTTGCCTATATATTAATTCTTAGGTTTAGTGGTTTTTTTATACAACTAGTATTGATATTATGTGCTTTACTCATTTCTAATTATATATTATAAATATTTAAAATTATAAATATAAATAATAAGTAATTGATTCTTTAATTAGTAATCAATTTAAGAATAACGATATATATACATCTTTTAATATTACAAAAACTCAATTTATGTGAAACTGAAAAACTTTATATTAAAAAAAATCTTAATTGTGAAGTGAAATTTTTATGAGAATTTGTAGAATTAATTTTAAGTATATTAATTTAAAGACATATTGTGGATTGAAAGGCAATAGACATGCAAATCAATTAGAGGGATTGATTTAGCATATTTGACCTTGAATTTTCATCTCAACTTCAAAATCAATAAATCATTACTATAAAAGATAAAAATTAATGAACAGGAGTTGTCACAGAATGGTATCAATAGGGGGAAAGGAAGTGTTCATCAAGTCCATGCTACAGTCTCTTCCAACCTATGCTATGAGTTGTGTTTTGCTACCAAGATCTTTGTGTGATGAATTTAACAATCTGCTTAGCAACTAGTGGTGAAGACATGACAAAGAGAAAAAAGGGATACATTGGCAAAACTGGAAAAAGATGTGATGGGATAAAAAAATGGAGGTATGGGGTTCAGAGAAATGGGAGATTTGAATAAAACCATGCTAGCTAAACAAGGGTGGTGGCTTTTAATCAAACCAAACATGCTTGCACACAGTGTCTTAAAAGCCAAGTATTTCCCACGGGGTACCTTTCTTGAGGCAGAACTTGGAGCATATCCCTCCCGATCGTGGAAGAGCATTTGGGCAACAAAAGCAGTGCTGAACCAAGGGCTTAGAAGGCGCGTTGGAAATGGGAGGTCCATACGCATATGGACTGATCATGGCTTCCTTTTACTGATACTTTAAGGCGGCGATCATCAAGGAATGTTGATGAGGAGAATGACTTTGTGTCTGACTTGACAGATGACTTTGTGTCTGACTTGACAGATGAACAAACACATAGTTGGAAGTGGGACGCAATACATGCAAGACTCACAACCGAGGAAGCAGATGCAATTTGTGGTTTGCCTTAAAGAAGGAAATCCTGACTGCTTAGTATGGCATTTTGATAACAAAGGCATATGTATTGTGAGAAGTGGTTACAAAATGCTAAGCAGACTTTCTAGAAGGAATGAGTCGGATGCAAGGACGACAGAAGAATGGGCAAAGGGAAGGATGTCTGGACAAAACTCTGGTCAGTTAATATTCCAAGATTAAACTAGTGATGTGGAAAGTTAGCAAAGTGTTTCTGCCAGTCATGGTGAACCTGGGCAAAAAACAGATCCCGGTTCTAATCACGTGTCCGACATGTGGCAATGAAGAAGAAATTGTGATCCATGCTGTGAAGGAATGTAGCTGGGCGAACGAACTGTGGGAAAATCTAAATTTTCGTTGGGAAAGGGAAGGAACCAGCAAACTGAGCCACTAGATTGGTAGTCTAGCGTGATGACAGAGCTGACAGCGGAACAGCTTCAAATATTCATGATAGGCATGTGGATATCTGAAATGAAAGAAACAAGGAAGTCCGTGGTGAACAGAGAAGGGACCCAATTGGTGTCTGCTGCTTTTGCAAAAGGATATATGGTAGATCGTGTGAGAGTTCAACAACAGAGCTTCAATCATCAAGATCTACAAGAGAATAAATGGAGACCACTAGCCAGAGCATCATTCAAAGTGAACTTTGATGGGACGGTTGACAAAGCGAGGAAGCAGGGAGGCATAGCGGTGATTATCAGAGATTGGGAAGGGAAAGTAACAAGAGCATGCTGTGACAGACTGCCTTGGGTGACAGATTCATTCTCTGCTGAAGCTAATGCGGTGATTCGTGCACTGGAATTTGCTAAAGATCTGGGACTTAATGAAATAATGCTAGAGGGAGACTCTTTGACAGTGATAACATGGCTCCAGAAGTGGAACAAGGACTCATCTCCAATAGAAAACTTAATAGAAGAAGCCAGAACCAAAATGGCAGAGTTCAAGGGGTGCAAAGTGCAACATGTTAAAAGATCTGGAAATGACGCTGCCCACATTTTAGCAAAGCAAGGTCTTTTAGTCAATGAAGGGAAGTATTGAGTTGAAGATTGTCCTGTTTACTTACAACCTTTTGTAGATGCTGATGCAGTTTCTGTTTCTTGAATGAATAGAACAACCTTGTTTCAGAATATATATAATGTTTGATTAGTATTATGTGGTTTGCAGGTTTCTGCCAACAGTAAGGAGAAAATTTCAGCTGCCAAAAAGGAGGTTTACTTTGTATTCAGATAGTTGGCCTACTAATAATTATGTGCATGATCACTTTGTAATAGGTTATACCATATTATTGATTGAGGTTAAGGCAACTCTTGGGATTGGAAAGGAAGAGTCTTCACAGTCAACAAGTACTTCAGCTCAGGGTACGGATGTGAAGGATGGAGGTAAGACATCATCCGAGGAACTGAAATATGAGCAGTCTGGGTCTGGTGATACTGCAGAAACTATATATATCCGGAAATTTTGTAAGAGAAAGCATCTGGAGTACACTCCCCCTCCCTCATCAACAGCCGCAAGAAATTAACCCTCTATGCTAAATTAACTTCTACTCCATGTTACATGGATTCGTAAACGGTGATAAATTATTTTTATTTGGTTTTTTTCCTTTATGATGCCAATCAAATTGCTGCAAGAAATAATTGATGGTCTGAGCTTACCTTGATATAATATAGGCTTTAACCATTCATAGAAAATATTTAATCACTAATTTATGCTTCAATAGTTCACAGATTTGATTGAAAAAAAAAAAAAAACCCAGGATAATGCTCTTTTGATACCTTTACCATAAGGAGGAGCCTGAAAATTATAAATGGTAGAACAGTGACAAAATAGACTAGTAAAATTGAGCAAACACTTCATTAGAGGAGATCCCATTTCTTGTTTTCTGGACTGCATGTATTCTTGGAATGTTTACCAACACCGCTGTGCTCTTCACCACTGCCGTCCATCGAAGAGTAATCCTTACAAGATAGTTGGTACCACGATGAAGATACTTCAACTCTCGATTTTGGGCGGAAAATCAAGAAACATATAGCAGAAAGCGCAACAAAGCCCGATGCTACACCAATAACAATGAGAAATATTGCTCTGCTATTGTACTTTGGCCTTATTGGTGGTGGAAGAGAGTTTTGATGTGGAATGGTAGGTATTCTGTCAGGGTTTGCTCCCGCAAGATTGCCTTCATTGCTCAATTTGAAGATTTCAACCCCATTCAAAATAGCATCAGAATATTTGGTCCTCCAAGCTGGGGCAGGGTGAAGTGCAATAGATAGATTTCTTTTCTTTTCAGTTCCTGCTCTACCAATCATCACAGCGTAATCTCTATAGACCGGCACCCCTTTTGCACCAGCCCAAGAGATTACATCCGCTTGATGTTCAGCAACAATATTGTCAATGTAAATCTGAAATACTCTATCACCAGGCTCTGTTATTTCTTTCTGGAATTCGCAAAAGTGTAACCTGACATAGTAAGTAAACCCAGAATCAACTCGGAATTCCCAAGTGAGTCGATAGTTCTCGTTCACAGTTTTGTTGGTCCCCATAGTCCTGGCAGTTTTATAGACTGGGATTGGGGCACTGTAATTTGGTATCACGCTGAAACTGGGGTTGATGCTAAGGTTAACAGGAAGAACACTAGGTTTACCATTAGTCAAGTATTCATCATCCTCAGACCAGTTCCTGTACATACCGGTATCTTGTGCAGGTGAAATGGAGCTACCGCCAACATTCACTCGGTATACAGTTTCAAGAGCCTGCTTCTCCAGGATGCGGTAAGGGTTTACCTGATTTACAAAATTGAACCCTGTATCATCGTCTGCAGAGTAGTAAAGATTGTTGGGCATGGAAACGATTTCGATTCCGTTGATGAAAGCATAAGAATCTGGCATACTAGGATCCGGACTGAACAAAATGTTCAGCTTTTGATCGTCAATATTTATGCAAAATTCTTTTGCAAAGACTTCTGATTTTAGATAATCAGCTGTGAGGGCAGGGCTGAAGCTTCTTAGGAGGGTATAACCACCGATATGGACATCAAAAAAGGCATTTGAGCGATTGAATTCTTGGTATGAACTTGGATAGAAGTGAAGGCGAATAAATTTTGGTCCTGGTGTGACTGTGAATGAGTAGGTGAATTGAGAGCGAGAGAGGCGAG